CACAGCACAGAGCCTGGCACAGGGCACAGAGCACATGGCACAGGGCACAGAGCACATGGCCCGGCACAGAGCAGAGCCCAGCACACAGCAGAGCCCAGCACAGAGCAGCAGCGTCCGAGGGGCACCCTCAGTCCCTCCCTCCCTCGCAGGAACTGAGAGGCTGCCAGCTGACCTCTCTGCTCCTCGTCTCCAGGATTGTTCTGGAAGGCAGAGGCAGGCCTGGCTCCGGCAGCCCCGCGCAGCTGCGCTCGGCAGCGCCTGGCAGCCCGAGGCAGCCGGGGAGGAAAGGGAGGCCTCTCATCTTTCCACGGCAGCAACAGGAAGACCAGGGATTGCACCGCATGGAAGAACGGCACACACACATGCGCACACGCTCCCAGACACACACCTCACACCCCTGGGACCGAGGCTGACATGTTCAGACCTTCGGCAGGAAGAGACACGAGACAGCACAGAGCGGTTCAGATCTCCAGGGGCTCTTTGGTCTTAGTTGATAGTCCTAGAAAAAGCAACCTCCAGAGGTGGTTGTAGCACAGCTGTGTAAGATCTGTGGGGTATTTACTGTTTGGCAACTGCGAGAGGGGAAAACAGGGCTGTGTGTTACAGGAGGGGGAAGGAATGGGAGTACAGTGCTGTGTTTCCAGGTGTGCTCCTGGCTGTGCAGCCAGCCAGGCCGTGGGGACCAGGAAGAGAAAGGAGGGTTCCTGAGAGGACCACGAATCCGTTTGATGTTACACCAACAAAGAGGCAAGGAAGGCCCACCTGGGCCAAGACAGAGTGGCTGGCTGCACAAAAATGCTGCTTCTGACAGCTCCAGACTGTGGCTGTATCATTCACACGGCGACAACATCCTCAGCTCCTGCACAGGTGACATGGAGAGGAGGAAGCGAACACAGCTACACACCTGGGGCAATGGAGAGGTGCTGTCACCTGCCCTTTTCCTCAGCAGCTTTAGCTACACAAGTCCTGGGCCTCTGATCCAGCCTGTGCCCATTGCTGTCACCTCCCTGCACGGGCTCAGGGACCACAGGAGGGAGTGTCAGAACTGGGCAAGCTCGTTCTGCCCCATGGAGCTGCACACACCCCGCACCTTCACTGATCCCTCAGCTACAACAGGGGACAAGACAGGCCGCCTCCAGTCCTCAATACAGCACAGCTACATCTGCTGACGTGTCTGAGATGGAAGCCAGAAGAAAGGTGTTCGGGGACAAAACAGGTGTTTCGTGGCCAACAACCGTAAACCGGGGGCCTCTGCACAGGCTGGTAGCACAGTCAAGCTTTCAGCATCACTGCAGTAAATTCATTCCATAACCCCTGCCCTAGGTTTGTATTTTATTCAGGAATTTAACATCCCCCCTGCAATGCAGGCAACAGCCCCTGTACCAGATCATACAGCAGCTCTGGAAAAATAATCACCAGTTACACTGCTCACAGACAACTCAAAGACCCCTGTTGGGACTAAATTCCACTAAAGGCAAACCCCGGACTGCACTGCCATGGAAGAGGAGGAGGAGGTGGTGATGGTTTAGAGACGGCCGCTCCTGCCCCTGCCAGCTTGTCCTACCCTGTGCATAGTGCGAAACAGTGCAGTCATTCACCAGAGAAAGTTCAGGACCAAGGAAACTCGGTTCTCTTTCAGCCAAATATTTAGAGGAAGGAGAGGCAGTTCTGTTTTAGCTGGGCCGGCACTGGACCTGCCCCTCTGAGCTGTCTTCATCATCCGAGCCTCCAGCCCCACCACTGGTCAGTCCTGTGATCCGGTAGCCCATGTTCAGCAACATCACCTCCAGCGGGTCCGCGTTCATCCGCCGCTGGTTGGCTTGGGAAGCACCTTCCATGTCCACGACCACGCGGCCGTTGAGGGTCTCGCTCTGCAAAACACCAGGGGACAGCACTCAGGACCCAGGAGGGGCTGCTCCTGCTGCTGCAGTGGGAGATCCCAGTGGGAAAAGGCAGCAGGAAAGAGCGAGGCTCCGGCTGCAGCCCTTACCTCCGGCCTGGGGTTCCAGAGTCGCACGACCGGGTCGATGCCGCTGGTGGCCAGGAAGCAGTAGCTGGGATGAGGCTGGAGACAGTTCACAATGGACTCGTCTCCCTGCAGCACACGCACCAGGTTGGTGGTTTCCTTCTCCCAGATGAAGAAGGAGCCGTCGTCCGAGCCGCTGACGATGTACTGGGCGTTGCTAGGGCAGAGGAGCAGAGCCTGGGGGTCACACTCAAGAGCCAGGCTCCAGCACGCTGAGCATTTCACATGGCTTCTGCCATCAGCAGGCTGACATCCCTCACACTTACACATCCAGATAAAGCTCCCTATGCTGGTTCCCTGCATCCCCAGGAGCCCTGTTTTCAATCCCAAACGGATTTCTGAATTGCTAGCCCAACCAGGTCCTCTGTGATCTGCTCCTCGTCAGCTGATCATGCAGCAACGTGGGATGAGGGTTCCTGTCAGCTCCTCCCAACGCTCCAAACCAGTGTCCATATCATTTTATGAACAGTAACATGGGGCTACACACGAGGCTTCCACGGAGCATATCACCCTGCTGCTGCTGACTCCTGTCCTGCACCCTTGCCACCATCTGCCAGCATACCTGCCAAAGAAATTGGCCTCCTTGATGTCCGTCGTGGTGTTGCAGTGGCCGCAGTACCGGAACTTGTAGTCGTAGCTGCGCTCCCTCAGCACCATCTCATCCTCGGAGATGGAGTCCTTGCGGCCCGTGGCTCGCAGCCGGATGGGGCCACCCCCCTTCTTGTCCTCAGCTGCAAGGACAACACGTTTCCCTCAGCACCACCGGCGGAGTTCTAAGCAAAACACACCCCAGGAGACCCCAGCAGCCTTAGAGAAGAGTTAAGGACGATTCCAGCAGGAAGCAGGGCTCAGAGCATGAGCTTCCTTCCTTCCACATTATCTCCTGGCTGCATCAGACTCCTTTTATCACACTCTCACTCAAGAGCAAACCAGGACCAGGCACAAGGAAAGAACAGGCTCCGGCCAGTTTTTGTGCACAGCAACAATCAATCTCTCTCAGAAGTTGGAGCTTTACTTCAGAGCGTCAGTTTAAGGAGGAAAGTCCTTGTGTGCTCATGAGATTTCAGTGTAACCTTGGAGAAGCCCAGGAGCAGCAGCACTCACCGTTATCACTCTTGGAGAAGAGGGCAGCATTGATGTCCCTGTCTAGTGCATCGCAGGCACTGCTGTGTGCTTGTTCTGGAAACTTCCCTTTAAAGTCATCCAGACACTCCAATGCTTCTGCCACGTACTTGAGTTCAAAGAGACAGCGGGCGAGGCGGAAGTGGGCCTTCAGGTGGCATGGATTTAGGGATATGGCCTTCAAGCAGTCCCTCAGAGCATCGTAATGGTCCCCATCCCTGAGGAAAGCAGAGCCGTGGATTAGCCAGCCCAAGCAGCAACAGCAAACATTTTCCACTGCTGCTTCCCAGCCCTCATTTCACTCCACAGCTTGTTGTTTCCAGCTCTCTACACAATCCCACACCCCAGGAGCTCGCTAACAGCATTTGCTGTGACTCGGGGGCACCACCTGACCCAGCCCAGCCTCCCCAAGGCCTCAGCAGACGCCCACAGGCAGCTCTGGGATGTGACCACACCAGGCTGCCCCGCCAGCCCTGACCTGCCATTTTAAATCCAAGAGAGCAGAGCTCCCTGCTGCAGCACATTTCGGGAAGTCCTTTGAAGATGGAGGATGCAGCAGCCCTCTGGCCAGGCAGCACAGCCCTCCCGTGCCAGGCGGGCTCCCTGTCACAGCTCAATCGTGCCCCTGTGTGGACACACGGCTCAGCTCCGGCCACGGCGCCCGGCCAGCAGCCGCAGGGCTCCCACCAAGGGACGAGCAGGACAGGCAGGAGCCTTGTCTCCAGCAGGAACCTTTGCTCACCTTTCCAGGGCAAATGGCAGAGTTTTAGAGGTGAGCGTTACAGTGATGGACTGCCCTGGTGTTTGTATCCTGTTTACAGCCTGATCTCCCGAGCTCTGGGCTCTGGCAGTGAGGCTGCCTGGCTGTGCTCTGGAAGCAGGAGGGACCTGTGAGCCCTGTGTGGTGCCCAGCTCAGGCTGGCAGGGCAGACACACCTGGGGCACCTCAACTGCTCAGACACCACAAGCTGCCTAAACAGAGTGCCAAGGCTCCATTTGATGGTTAATAGTAATAATAATAATAATAATAATGATAATGTTTCATATCTGTAACCTACATGCCCCACTGTGACTGCCCCATCCCTGGAAGTGTCCACGGCCAAGCTGGACAGTGCTTGGAGCAACCTGGGATAGTGGAAGGTGTCCCTGCCCATGGCAGGGAATGAGATGGGCTTAAAGGCCCCTTCCAACCCAAACCATTCCAGGATTCTGTGCACTGCACCCACCAAGGTCCAAAACACTCCCAAGGAGAGGATCAATTCAAAGAGCAACAATTTTAGATTATGTGAAACCTCTGTCAGGGAACCACAGGAAGGCTCAGGTTGGAAGGGAGCACTCAGTGTCATGCAGGACCCCTTCCCTGTACAAACAGGGCTCCCTACAGCACATGCCTCAGGACTGAGTCCAGTTTTGGATTATCTCCAGTAAAGGAGACTCCACACTCTCCGTGCGCAGCCTGTCCCAGTGCTCTGTCACCCCCACGGTGAAGAAGCTCCTCCTCATGCACAGGTGGAATAGGGAAGAGGTGTCTCAGTGTCTGGACTTATTAAGGGGAGTTCCAAACCTTGCCAGGAGCCTGTTTTGCAATCCATTCACCCTGCAGCTCCCTCCTGTCCAGGTGGGTACTGGCCACTGCCCAGCACAGCCCTGCCCATGAGATCTGCAGCAGGAACAAGGCTCTCCAGGGCTGCCTCTGCAGCACTGCCAGGGTTAATTCAGGACATGCAGCAACAGGCCATTTTTAGTCAGAGAAAGAGGGAATGCAAGTTACCTGTTAGGATGACAGACAGGTGTCCCACACTTGCACACCTGACTGGGCTTTTAAACTGCTTTGCCACCCTCAAACATCCTTCAAGCTCAACTACCAGCTTTGGCAGCCCAAGAGACTGGTGTGAAAATGGACATGGTAAAGCAGGCTCTGACTTCTCCCTTTGTTACAGGATTGACTCAGCTTGTGCAAAACTAGAAATCAGCTCAGTACTGCCAACGTGGACTGCTGAAAGCAATCTAGAGGGGGATGCAGTTGGCTTTTAGGAGCAAAATTTCAAAGGACAGCCTTAGAAGTGCTGGAAAATATGAGCAGCATCTTAAGGGAGATGAACAAGGGGAGGTTAGGAAATTACAGACCTTCCTTTTTTCCTTGCTCTGTTATTCAGAGAATGAGGCCAAAGTAGAACCTGCAGGGTTCTGAGGGTGGCCTGTACCTGCTCCTGCTCCAGACATCAAGAACACCTCAGAGACATGTGGTGGTTCATCCTGGGTCACTGTCTGCCTCTCCTCTGCTCAGTGACATCCCAGCCACCTTCCCCACGCTCCTCAAACTCTTCCTAGCAGAAAAGTGCCCCTTTCCTGCACCTGGCAGGTATCACCTCAGTGCTATTTAAATCCTACCCCCGCGTGCCACAGAAACCCACTGTGTATGTTTTCCACATCTTCCTGCTACCCAAAACTGTGGCAAAGCAGTAGCTGACACACTGAAAGGTTCAGATGTGCCAACACCCTTCGGGAAAAACGATTCCTATAAGAAAAATGTCATTCATGAGATCAGCACTCAGCTTCTGTGTTCCATCCCTTAATCCCAACCTATTGTTCTTCTCCTTCTGAACACTGAGGTCTTTTTGAGGCAGCTCCCAAATCTCTGCTATTGCAAAACAGCCAGTAGGCCAGTTACCAACAGTCACAACAACTGCTGGCTGCTCTTTATCTTGGCAAGAGGAGAGGAGAATTCATACTGGGGATTTCAGCAGGGAGAGAAGAAGGATATCCTCACAAAGCAAATGGAGATGAAGGACCACAGCTATTTTAAATATGTTAATGGCAAGTCATGGTACTCAGTCTTACTCTGCTCAAGGGGACAGCACTAAAATAACTCAGCTGTATCTTGCAGATGCAGCTCTGGCCACTGGTCAGAGCAGACATTACCTACTGCAGAGGCTGACAGGGTGTTTTGCAACCAGCAGGGCAGAATCCTCTCCAGACTGCAAGGATCTGCCACCTCCCCAGACCCCTCCCAGAGGTTTGTTTCCAGTCAAAGGAGGGTGGGTTAACTGGGGTAACACAGGAACCACCAGGTCTGAGTGTCTGCAGTGTGAGGTTCTTGGATAAAGCAGCAACCAAAGCCACCCCAGCAGCCCTAACACAACCTCCTGTCACGAGCTGTTATAAAGCACAGTCGCCATTACGTCATGTGTTGACAGCAGATTTAAGAGCCCTTCTTTAATGCAAATCAGAACCACCCAAAGAAACACAGCCACCCTTGGAGACATCCAGGATGCTGTGAATCAGATGTGGATTTTGGGTTTCTTTTTAAACAGGAAAGGACGGGGATTTCACACAGCACACCAGTAGGTGGGCTGTACCTCCCCAGACTCTGTGCAGCACAGACTGCTGCACCACCCCTTTGTGCCAGAGGTGCCCAGTTATGTTTCAGTGTGACAACCCCAAGCCTGCCTGCCAGAGGGACACCAGGCCCGTGGCCAAGGTGGCCCCTGGAGTCACCTGCAGTGACACTGGCCCCTTACCACTTGCGCTTCATGTAGGCAGCAGCTCTGTTCCCATAGAGCATGGCATTGTTGGGGGCCTTCTGCACAGCTTTGCTGTACAGCTGGATGGCCTGCGTCCACAGCTGGCAGGCAAAGGCCTCGTTGGCTTGTTGTTTGATCCTCTCCAGGTACGGGGGCAACTCCACCTGGGGGCTGCAGGGGAAGAAGGGAGCAGCACAGGTAAGTTGTACATCCTTAGCTCCAGGTCAGAGTCTGCAGTGTTTAGTTCCAGCTTAGCTAATGTTTGCTAGACTTCCGAATAAAAGAGTCAGGAAAAGACAGAAGGGATTCTGGACCTGAAGAACTTGTGTTTAAGAGCAAAGTTTGGTTTTGACCACACAATCCCAGAATAGTCTGGGTTGGAAGGGAAGTTAAAGCCCATCCAGTCCCACCCCCTGTCATGGGCAGGGACACCTTCCACCACCCCAGGTTGCTCCAAGCCCCGTCCAACCTGGCCCTGGACACCTCCAGGGCAGCCAGAGCTTCTCTGGGCACCCTGTGCCAGGGCCCCCCACCCTCTGGCAGTCTCACTACATCATTTGACTGTTTCCAATTTTTCTTCATCTACAGACACACACTCCAAATTGAGCAGTGGGTATTTTAAGCATCAGACTCCACCAATACGTCTTTGTTTCGAGTGCATAAACAGCGTTCCCACTGCTCTTTTAGCAATGCACAACCATGCACATGCAGAAGCATCTGAGCTCACCAGGCCCATGCTCCACAACCCAAAATTCCAGCCCCATTCCCCATTCCTGCTGCCGCGGTGGAGGGGCCATCTAGAGGAGAGGAGCTGAAACAGTCCACAAAGTCACTTTGGAGGAACCCAGACTACCCATATATGGTATTAAATAAGTGTCTTGACTTTGAACCAAGTCTCATCAGCAGGAAGAAAAACAGCCACCAAGATGTGCTGCTGCTCCTTCACCCCAACTGCATTTTGCTCTTAAAGAAAGAAATCAGCAGGAGCAATAGAAGAGGCTCCATCCAGTCCCATGTTAGGAATGGCAGCAGTGTTCCAGTGTTGTCACAGAACAATTCTGGCTGCTTCAGTTCAGTTTGCAGCTGGCAAGTGCCCAAAAAATGGCAGAGGGAAGCAAGAGTCCTTCACCTGCCAGCCTCTGCCACCATCAACACACAGCTCCTGCAGGCCAGGAAGCAACCACCACTCAGGACACTTTGCTTCCAGGCCTGAAAAATAATTTCTTAGTTTTGTCCACCTCAATTCATCGTAAGAGGAAATATCCTCACAGACAATTCCTCCCAGGACGCTCTTGCCTGGTCTGACTCCTGTTCACAGCCCAGGCATAGGAGGCCAACACAGCCCCAGGGACAGCGGCCACTTGGCAATCCAGGAACAGGGCAAGGGATTTGCACCTCACACCTTTCTGGCAGCACCTCACCCCGTGAGAGGCAAAGGACAAAGCCATAAACCCCCTGGAGGGGCAGCTGTGCCCTCACCTCACGTGTGCCCTTCCCTCGGCCAAGCGGAAGCCGTTGCTGTGGAGATGGATCCCATTGGACACTCCATTGGTAGAGGTTTTTCCATTCTGCACTTCTGAAGGTTAGAGAAAGATATATACAGCCATGCTAAGTATCAATGTACATTATACAAGCTCAGGGTTTATTTCACAGCAGGGCCAATCCAGCACGACTGCCCCATTCAGAGCAGAAACAAAACTTCCATGATTCCACCCGCTCCAGCCACCTGCATTTGATTTGTCCTCTTATATTTACAAATCTCTGCACTGCCCTTTGCAATACAATTCTAGATCAGAAAACCAGGCACACACAGAACTAAGTGCTAAGGGAATTACCTTTACTGATTTCAGGCCATGGTCGGAGTGTCATGGAATCCTGGAATGGTCTGGGAGGATTCCAGGACCTCAGCCACTGAACAGTCTGCTTAATCCCTGAGCACAACTCACACACACCCCACCCTCTGCACAGGTCACTTCTGCCCTGTTTTGTCCCCGTGCAGAAGGATTTGGCACCAGGGTATGGACTGCACTGCAGAAGCAGCCCAGCAACACCCACAGCCTGCTTCAGTCTCCTCCTGCACCCTGAAAATGAACTGTGCAGAACAGAACTCCCTTCTGCTGCTCAGTCCCTATGTGACAGCATCAAACTTACCCCCTGAAGTGTGGCACTTCTTTGGGAGGAGAAAAGTGTATGGCCGCTGTTTGTATGTCAGATCAAACAAATAGACCTGAGGAAAGGAAAAAAGAGCATGAGACAAGTCTGCAAAACAGAGATCCCAGGTCAGAAATAACAGAGAGCTCAGTAGGTACACAGTTCCCTATTTGTATTTGCTACTTCAAATTTTCTCACTGGGAATCTTTCTTATGGATGGACACACAAGGGGTGGCAGCAGTAACTGGGGTGTGTCCCAGTCCAGCCCAGTTCAGAGAGAACAACACTGACTAACAAGAACCTGGTCTTATTCCACACCTGCAGAATTTAAAAGATGACCTGACCATTGACCAACCTGCTCAGAAAGCTTCATATTTCAATTAAGCAACTGAGATATTTCAATTAACACCATGACAATGAGGAAACCAAACACCTATTGACAGAGAAGAGGCAGGACACTGAGGAAAAGTCTCTCTAAGATGAAACCAGTGTTTCCTGAGAAACTCCCAGGGCAGCTGTGTGAAATTCTAATTTACAGCTGTACTGGCACAGGAATGGACAGCCCAGCCCAGACCCATGGTTCACCCTCTCCTAAAGGGAGTGAGTGCACGTGTGAGAAAGAGCTAGAGAGGACAAGCACAGTGCAACCTGCCCACAAGCAAAGGTCCTGTTTAATCCATGCTGATTAATGCTGTCAGGAGGATTTTCTCATTCCATTGATAGGCATTACAAAAGATCCATGAATATCACACAGAGCTTAAAATTAAAACAATCAATATTCCAGGTGAAGGACTTTGCTTCTCCAAGTTCTTCTTTCACTACATTCTATTACAGAAGCAGTTTGATGTTTCAAGAATGAGTTATGAAATCCTTTCTAGGTCAACAAAGGTCAGTTCCAGAACTGGTTTTGTTTATCTTCTTTCCCCTCTTCCAAAGAGCGAAATGTGAATTGGAATACCACAACAGAACGTGGTTTAACTTTGATCAGTGCCAACGTAACAAATATATCCCTAATCCCAAGTATTTAGTCTGAATTAACCAGAAAGAAGTTTAAAATCAATCACATTACCCACAGAGAAGTTGCTGTACCTATTTTCAATAGCACACAGCAATGTCCAGTGACCCAATGTGAAGCTTTTCTGCCTCCTTACCTGCTCCCCTCCCATGTTGACCAAGAGCTCGGTGCCATCGGGGCTGAAGGTGACGTACGTGGCCACCAGGACCCTCAGCCGGTTGTTGTAGTCTGGAAGCTTCACTGGGAGGTGCCCTGTGGAGAGAACAAGTCCAGAATTATTGGCTTAACTCTCAACTGCTGTCTTTGTCCTACTCCAGCTGCTCCCTTTTACAAGAGCAAAGCCGTGGAGCACAAGCACCTACAGGATTTTCCATTTCCCGCCGTTTATGGGATCCTTCCACAAGAACCAAACCATGCACGGTGCCTTTTCACATGTTCTGGGTAATGATGCCCCATCTCTGGAGGTGTCCAAGGCCCGGCTGGATGGGGCTTGGAGCAACCTGGTCTAGTGGAAGGTGTCCTTGCCCACGGCACGGGTGGAACAAGGGGTGTTTTAAGGTCCCTTCCAACCCAAACCGTTCTGTGATTCCATGATTCCAATTTTGCACAGCCATCCCACATGAAGACAGGAATCATAACTGCCTTGTTAACAATGAGCCTCTAGAACCCAGCAAATCTCAGTTTTGGGGATTCACTAGGATTTGGCTTTTGTGATTTGTGACCATCTGCAAATACCTCCATCCTCAACCTCCTAATTAGGTTTCCTTAATAAAGCTCTCAGCACAAGGAAACCAAAGCTCCTAAATATTCAGCTCACACACAGGTTCTGCTCTTCAGACAGCAGATGTGTTGCATGACCAATTCAGGGGACCTGAGGAATCCTCTAGTGGGAATCATGAGGAGCAGGATTGTCAGAACTGGTCTGCTGAACATGCTGGTCTGAGATATTGTAAAAAAAAAAAAAAAACAACCCAAACATTTTGGGGTAAAAGATAGTAAATAATGAGCACTGGAGAAAAATGTCATCTAGATTGCTCAGATGCTGCATCACTGATTCTTCATCTGCAGGATGAGCACAAGTCACTTCTGTGCCGAAAAGATTTTGAACGGCAGCTTTGCTGGGACCAGTTCCAGGAAAGCCTATAGAGCCCAGGTGATGTCCAACCCTTCACTGTGCAGTAGGAGTGACAAAAACACATTTATGCTGGACAGAAAGCAGCAAGGCCAGCTCACCACCCCAGTGAAATAAGCTGCAATTCCATGGAGCATGCCATGGAAGAGCTGCCCTGAGCAGGGGTTTGTGTGCTGGGCAGAACTCTGCTCCTGCAGGCACCCCCGTGCCAGCCCAGAGCAGGGCCCATACCTGCCACGTAGTACTGAGCCGCCCCGTCCGGGAGGGGCTTCTGCCGGTCACAGAACGTGTGCACTCCAGCTGAGGGACTCTGCTTCATGCTTTTCCTGCCCAGAGAGAGGAACAGCCTCATGATAACCCCAGCATTCAGCTGCTGGAAGCCTCATCTCCACTGGCTTTTCTGGTCCACCCACAAGCACAAGGCCAGCTGCCACACAGTAACGGGGTCACCAGCCTCACACCACCCTGGTGTGCTCAGCTAAAAGACTTTGGGTGACAGAAGAAATGGAGCAAAACTTCCCAGAAAAAGGTGAGTGCTGGATCCCTGCAGGTCCCTCTTGCCACCAGAGCCCTGACCAGATCCCTGCACCAGGAAATCCCCCAGCTCTTACCTGTGGTTGTGGATCATGCGGATGTCGTAGAGCCGCACAAAGGGCCCGCTGGCCCCCACGGCCAGGTAATTGTTGTCCTGGGGGTTCACTGTCAGGCACTTGGCCTCCACCAGCTGCCCACAGTACTCAGTCAGGTCTATCAGCACCTCGGAACGTTTGCTGTTCTCCCGCAGGTCATACTGCCTGCAAAGGGGCGGCAGAGAGGCAGAGCTATCCCGGGGGAACAGAGCAGCAGCAAGAGACTCATACAACATCCTCAGCTGGGACAACACACACTGGGCTTCAGTACCAGGAGAATCATTAAAAATAGATCTATAATGTGCACAGATTTATTCAAGTTCCAAATTAAACTCTCAAGTCATGACCTGCTCCTTTCCTGGCCTCCCTTTCCAGCAGTGAGGAAAATGGAGGAGGCTGAGGAGAGTATGACTCTACAAGATGCATCTTTCCACTTTTAGGAAAGGGAGAGTTCAGCTTAAGTGTTTAGTAGAGAGACAGCCTCCCTTCAGGCCTGTGCACAGCACACATTGCGATGGTTCCCAGAACCAAACCAACAGGAATTCTGTACCTGATTAAGCCATCTTCTGCTGCACTCCAGAAGGTGTTTGGCCACATTGGAGCCGTGGCAATCCGCTTCACTCTGTTGGTGTGATCTCCAAACATGTGCACGGTCTCCTTGACAGTCAAGTCATGGACGTGCACCTTGGAATCTGCAGCTCCCGTGATGAGGATCCGATCCCCCGAGTGCGGCAAGAACTGCGGGAGAGGGATTGGACACTCAGCTGGAGAAGCACTGGGCTGCTCCCATGGGCACCCTGGCAGCCACAGAGCAGGAACTCTGCTTCAGGAACGTGGGCCAGCCCATGTTATTCCCTATTACACAGGTCAGTATGCACACTCAAGAGTCACCAGCTACAGCAGGACACACAAGAGTGTCTTCATGCCACATCCCAATTTGCTACAACCATTTCCTTCCAATTCACTGGGAGAATGAGCTTGGGATCTGCATAAACTAAGTGCAATATTAGATTTAATCTTGTTGCCCATAATTAGAAATATTAAATTTTTTGGGGGGGAAACTGCTTGCAGGAAAATGTTTCCCAGCAAGGATTTAATCTTTTACTGCTCAGGTTGCTGTTTCTGTGAGCTGCTCTTTCCTTGTATGCACATACCTTGACAGAAAAGATGTTTGCAGTGTGTCCTGTGTGCATAGAAAGGAGTTTCTTGTGGTGCAGAGGATCCCACACAATGGTATGCTGGTCATCAGAGCCAGAGGCCAACAAGCTAAAAGGAACAGGAGACAAATATGCACTATGAATTCTTCTGTTCCACACTGCGCCTGGGTCTGTGGAGCTGTTTGACCACAGACATCCATTAAATTAATTCAGCCCTGACCAGCCCATTTCCTCTCTTCCCTCAGCTCTCTGTTCTTGCTGCTCACCGTGCACCCATACCCTCAGCCAGGTCTGAGAGCTAAAGCAGACAAACGCAGTTCCACAGGAAACACAGCTGACTGAAGGATCTCACCCGCATGGCAATGGGAAAGCAGAGTGTCTGGTCAACAGCACAAGCAGGGCCTGCACCTTCCCAGCCACCCTGGCTGTGTTACCTGCTCCACATCCCCTCTGAAGCCCAGCCAAGGCATTCACTCCCAGCCTCCAGAGGTGCCCAGGCAGTCCCAGGCTCGTGGGGTGAAACACAAACTGCTTTTAAAGTCATTGCAAGGTGCTCTTGGCCTTGTCCATCCATCTGCACCAGGACCAAAGGAATCTGACACCTGCACCTCTCAGCTCTTTTAAACTTAAGATTGTTTCGTAGCCATTCTCTTTCAAGTACCTGAAATTTTCACTGGTAAATAATTCTGAAGAGTATTAGAGGGCAGACTTTGGATATTGTAAGAGGCATGTGCAGAAACACCCACTCTTCCTCCAGTGCACTCACTTCTTACACAGACTCTTCATTCCACTTGGTTACTGGAAGTTGCTCTTTAGTGTCCCTCTAAAATTGCAGAGGGGTGAATTCTCTACCTCCTTCTCTTGGATATCTGTCCCCCAGCAGTAGCTTTCAACAGCATGGTGAAGGGGGTGGGGAAATGTCACCACCAGCTGGGCAAATCCTAAAGATCCATTATAATCCATAATACCACTTAAGAGAAGCAGCCTTCAATCTCCACTTCTTAGTCTGACCATTTCCCTTCTGAACTCACTAAAGGGGCATTTCTAATAATATCCAGATATATTTAACAAAATAAAGCTTCTTTTGAAGCATGAGCTCTACTACAGCTCAAAATTTGAGCTTGAGCTCCACTTTACTAGAAATGGGAAGCAGCTGCTTATGATAACATGACCTACATCCTACTCTTGGGAAAACCTGGGGTTATGGCTTTGCTGATTCCCCAAATGAAGCCACATACTTACTCTCCTTTTTCATTCCATTCCAGACAGTTGACACACCCAGAGTGACCCTGAGGGAAGAAGGCAAGGGAAGATGGCATTACTCAAACTTCAGATGTATCAAACAGAGCTGTCCTAAGACAAGGACACAGTGAGCTCCTCACAAATAACTTCTTCCAATAAAAGCAGGTTTTTTAAATTCCAACCTTGCAAAGAACACCACATGGTTGGTAGATAAGCACATCCAGAAAAGACAGACATGCTAGAGCAGTTGGGGTAGAAAAGGCAAAATGAAACAAATAGAAAAAGGTAGTGTTGAATAAAATGGCAGTTTAGTCTCAGAGGCTACAGCTGAAATCCTGCTGTACACACGGAAAGGTGACTTTGCTTCCAAAGCCCTTGGCTAGGCTGACAAATTACATGTACAGGCACTCTGGGAACACAGGGAAAATGCACTTTTGATAGCTCTGTTAGAAGCACCTTGCTGCTGGGTGACTACATCATCCATCTTCATCCACATTAACCAACAACTGCACCAGGAAGTGGGGGAGTGTTGAGCAGCATTTGATGTGGGAGATATGACTGAAAAGGGGGACAAAATAATCCTTTCCTCCCCCAAACCAAGATAATTGATGTGTTAGAGGCTCAGTTGGGTGGAGCAGGGTGTTGATAATACCAAGGTTGTGGGTTTGACCCCAGATGGGGCTGTTTAAGACTTCAATGATCCCTGTGGGTCCCTTCCAACTCAGAATATTCTGTATAATCTTAAAATCTTTTCTGAGGTATGTCAGAATGCACTACAATCCGTTCCTTAGGGATCCCATGAGAGCTGAGCAGATGACAATTGTCTTCTTCAGGCATCAGTGCTGAGATGAGGTGTGCCCACCCTGTTAAAGGTTCACCAGGTAGAGCAGAAAGCTCACGCAAGCTCTCAGTGAGCTACTCCTGGCTCCAATGCAGTGTGGGAGACCAAGAAATCAGCACTGACCTCATGAAACAGAGCAGTGCATTCACTCCTGCAGCAAGGGACACTCCAAGGAGCTGTCTGCTCTCTGGACACTCACCTGCAGCTCAGCCTCCAGCCCCAGGCGGCGGATGAAGGGGTCGGTGACGTGGTAGTGGCGCTCGAAGCCCAGCGCTCCCCGCTCCTGCAGGAGCAACAGGCACACCCTGAGCACAGCAACACACCACTGCTCCTGCCCTTTCCGAGAAATTCCTCAGCTTTAAAAACCACACCAGGTATTGGGGTGCTCCCCCCCACCCCACTGGGAGTCACAGAATTCCAGAATGGTTTGGGTGGGAAGGGACCTCCAAGCCCCTCCAGCACCATCCCTGCCATGGCAGGGACCCCTCCCACTGTCCCAGGCTGCTCCCAGCCCTGTCCAGCCTGGCCCTGGGCACTGCCAGGGATCCAAAGGCAGCCACAGCTGCTCTGGGCACCCTGTGCCAGGGCCTGCCCACCCTCACAAGAATGAATTTCCTCTCAATATCCCATCTAACCCTGTCCTCCTTCAGCTCAAGGCCATTCCCCCTTGCCCCATCACTACACACCCTTGTTACAAGTCCCTCTCCAGCCTTCGCATCCTCTAAACATCTCCAGGTGAGCAGATCTTAATCTTTGCCCCTGAACTGATTTAAAATGCTGTGAAACTCAGTGCCAGGCTCCAGCTGAGGAGCCAAAACCAGCCCTGGGAGGCCCACACGGAGGCAGAGTGAGCTGACCCTAACTGGGGCCTGAAAGAGAAGACATGGAAGAGCTTGGGAATGCCTGCTATTATCCTTGGCAAGGATTTCAGCAGGATCTCCATCCTGAGCACAGCAGTCCTGGACCAGAGCTGCCCAGGAGAGCTGTGCCATTGCAGAGCCTGTCCCAAGGCACCAGCAGCATGGGGTGAAGAGCTGGGCCGTGGAACTGGCCAGCTGCCCTCAGGGATGGGTCACTCCTCAGGCAGGGAGCAGAGCTGCAGCGCACAGGCTGTTCCAGAGGGATGGGAACAGCTGCCACAGAGCTGCGTCAGTACAAATGAAGGTGAAGGAAAGCAGGACAGTTGTTTCCCCTGTGATCTCACAGGGCTCACAGATGCATCAGCAGATGGCTCTGATGAAAGAAGGCCAACTGCAGAGGCAGGAATGAAGGAGAGAGAATGCCAGTCAGATTTTGGATGGAACATCTAAATGGAGATTCTTCCCTAGGACTTGACCCTGCTGTGGTCTCACTCCATGCCACACGCGTCAATGTAAGATGGGAACACCAATGTCAAAATCACCCTGGTGGTGCCCAAGAAATCACCCTGGTGGTGCTCAGAGCACATCAGCAGTCCCAGAGCAGACAGAAGTGCTGAATTCCCTCCCCAGCCCAATGCTCAGTAATGAACTCCACACACCAAAAGCTATTTGAAGACAAAATGGAGACAGACATAAAAGGATTGGAGGCAAAACAAACCAGGCTTTTTGTAGGAGCTTCCATGAGAGACTTCAAACCCCTTGATGTACTTTTGTGGAGAGCATTCCTAAAGCACTGCAGGGCCCATGCAAGGTGCTGCAGGTGTAATTCTGTGCTACTGCAGCCCCAGTGGCTCTGTGGGGGCTGTGGGGCAGGATATTGCTTTTTCCTATAAGGAACTGCCTGACTTAGCAATCTTCCCAAGGTCACACGTCAAAGCCTGACATGCAGACAGTCTGAGACAGTCCCAGGCTAAGGCTCAAACCACAGAACCAGCCCTTCCTTGTTAGGGCAGCAAAACAAATCTTTGCACATGGATTGAATTACAAGCTTCTAACAGAGTTTATAACAGTTGGTACCAAACTGCAAAGTGAGCACTCAAGCTCCCAGTTCCTTATTCTGGCCACTCACAGACCCCTTTTCTGAATGCTGATTATCAGCAAAGCTGCAAATGATTTCAGGCCTCTGAGTCCCAGCAATAATTGCCTATTGTGTCTGCTGCAGCCAGTCCTTTCACGTTGATATTCCACCAAAGCAGCCATCAGATGACTGATCCCACCACTGCACAAGTTTTTTTTCCCCTACACAAAGGAAGCAACACAGCACTCTCTAAAGAAAAGGAGACAGAGAAGCTGTGACAGAGATCATTAGCTTTACTACAGTCAGAAATACCTCTGATGGCAAGATCACACGGGGAGAACACAGAAAGCAGAGAGGGAAGCTGGCTAAGGGCCTTTGTGGTGCCCAAACACAAGCAGCTCTATTTCTCTCTTCAACTCAGAAGGAACAGAGCTGCTGATGGCAAACCAGCCCAGGGAGAGGAACTGTGCTCCTGTCATGCCAGACTTCATCCCAGCTCTCCATTAAGGACAGTGACAGGTCCTGTGTGCTTGTTCTCCTAAGCTCCTTACAGGGCTTATCAATATGTAAGTAACAGAGATCTTGCTCCCAAGTAAGATAACACCAGGAGCTTTCCCCACTCCAGCACGGACTCCCCCCTCTCCACCCACACCAGTGAACACGGGGTCCCACATACCTTGATCTGCCTGTGGATGATGTCCCTGGTGATGTTGGCTTTTGCCATCTTCTTGCAGTGGGGCAGACGAAGAGAAGCTGTGGGAAGAGCTGCTGTGCATCCAAGCATTCCAGCCGGGCCAGGATCCGCACCGAGGGCGTTCAGTTACCTGGGGGCAGCGGGGGGACACGGGCAGGGCAGGGCAGGACCACCACACCTTAGGCTGCTCCCACACACAGTGCTGGCTGAGAGCTGGAAAGTTTGGGTTAAAGGCTCCTGAAGAAACTCAAGGAAGGAACGATGGGAGAATGAATGTCTGGCTCAAAGCCATTCCCAGTTTGTGGAGAAATTCATGATGAGCAGAATTCCAGAACTATATCAGCCTGGAAAATCCATGTTTCTATCCCAGCAGAGACCCTGTGAGTCCAGAGCAGTTTCCTGTTGCAGCCTTCCCTCCCACCATTCTATGACCACTCATGTCCAATGTCATGTTTCCCAAACTCTACAACCAACAAAGATTATATTATGCTGTGAATAAACACAGCATTGATGCTTTTGGCCACATCTTCTCTCTCACTTACTACATTGGATTATCAGCAAAACACCCCTAAAATATCCAAAAGGACATAAACATTCCTTGGAAATCACAACAGCCAATTGTGAGGTCAGAACTGAACACCTAATTACCTCAGCAAGAGAAAAGAGGTGACCAGTTAAAATTGAATTTCCAGGAGAAATTAAGAGTTTTGCACACTCTTATTTGAGTTTAATGTTCTAACCTAAATAATTGAAACCCCATGGAATTGGCTACTTCTGCTAAAAAAACATTCAAATTGCAGAGTGATGGTCACAACCCCGAGCTGGACAGGCTGCTTAGCAAAGGATCAGTCAGTCCCTGAGAAATGCTGCAATTCCAATCCCAGTTTCCATCCCACAGCCTGGCCCATTTAGGCATTTCTACAGTTCTCTTTAAAATAACAAAAAGAATAAAAATGAAATTTCAAACACCCATTTTGTCCTATGTAACCTTCTAGTTTAAAAACATTTCCAAGCAAAACAAGCCAAAAATTTTCCTCTTCTAAATGAGGAAATGCTGATTCATTGAAACAGGAGCATTTCACAGGAACGCCGCAACAAACAGGAGTCCTGGCAACCCTCGTCTGATTCTCTGCTGCCACGGGAGGGCTTCCACTGGCAGGGACACCTCCCACTGTCCCAGGCTGCTCCAAGCCCTGTCCAGCCTGGCCCTGGGCACTGCCAGGGACAGGGCAGCCACAACAACAACTTCCCTCAGGAACGGCTCCCCAGGACAGGAAGGGAGGAAGCAGCAGCATCTGGGCACAAGGGCGGGTGGATCTGCTGACTCTGCTGCTCCTGAGAGGTGTCTGAGCTGCTTCCCCAAACTTCAGCAGAGACTGAGGAGCAGGAGAGTGTCCAGGGAAGGGGCTGAAGGAGCTGAGAAGGGGCTCAGCCTGGGGAAAAGGGGGATCAGGGGGCCCTTCTGGCTCTGCACAGCTCCTGACAGGAGGGGACAGACAGGAGGTCGGGCTCTGCTCCCAGGAACAGGGACAGGAGGAGAGGGAATGGCTTCAAGCTGTTCCCAAGTCCATCCTCAAAAGACACAGGGACAATATCCCAGCACACCTCAGTGCCTTCCACTCTTCTTAGAGCATCCCTACAACATTGCCATGCCCTGTCCAGTCTCCCCTCTTCAAACAACACCCAGCTTCCTCCTCTTCTTCCCTGCCAGGCAGATTTCTTGTCTTCCTCTTTGAGAGCAATTGGATTTGGTTCTTAGGACCCTGCTATCCCAGTGCCAGGCAGGCTGCCACCTCCCTGCTGACAAACACCCCACTGCTCTTTTGGGAGTGTTTTTGTCACATTTTCTACCTCTACTTATGGCTAATTTCTAATCAGCTTCTTTCTCCTCCAACAGCACCAAACAACCTCAAGGACACACGTGGAAAAATGCATGTGCATGGAAAGATCCAGATCTCCCATACACAGCCATAAATAACCCACACCGAGGGGCCAGTTTAGAACTAAATAAGTCACTGCAAAACCATTAATACCCTATAACCCCTCTGTATAAACAGAGAGAAGGAATACCCAAACCCCCCAAAACCACCACTCTTTAACAGACCCAAATTCCCTGGAGTTTTAACAAAGACTCCTCTGTGCCAGCACTTTCTGCCTTGTGGAACCCTGACACCCACCCTGCCCAGGTGGGAGCAGCAATACACAGGAGTTGGCTGTTTCTGGGAGGGCTTTGGGGATTACTGATGTGTTGGGGAGCTTCCCAACTCTCTGGACAAGCCATTGCCAGCTGTGGTTACTCAGAGGTGGCCCCAGGTCTCAGGAGATCAGCACATCTTAACTTTACTTCTTAAAAAATACAGGCGAGGAAAATCATCCAAGAAATCAGACCTTGGGTAACAGGCTTGGATAAAACCCAGTCCAACAGGAATGCAGGAGCCTAAGGTGTCTCTCTTTCCAGGAAAGTGCTTGATTTGGCAACTGGATACAACAAAATGCTTAAAGGTCTTCCAGATCTTGTGCCTTTGCTTGGCCAAGAAGGCTTCAAGAGCCTTTCCTCCTTTCCCTTTGCTAATTTTTGTTCCTCAACAGGTATTCCACAACTACAAAGGCTCTGGCAACCTTTAAGTTATCATGGAAACACAGACGAAGGATTAAGAAGCCCAAAATCTCATTCCAGAGCACATTTTGAGCATTAGCCACAACTGATCACAATCCCAGCTTCCCAGTCCCCATGAATATGACAGGGATCTCATTCAAATACTAAATAAAGAAGCAATAAACAAATAAAATAAATATTATGTGTTCTTAACACTAAAGACTATTGACCCCACGACTGTACAGGTTTCAAACTTACCCTGGAATAAAACAAAATCTCTCTAGATTTGTAGATCTCCTGCAAAACATATGTAATTAAAAAAATCAGACAAAACTCAACTGTGCCTCCCAATTTCTTAAGACACAAAGGCTTCCAAACATGAAGCCCCTCCAAAGAGTCTTTGTCACCACTAAAGGAATTGGAAATTCCTTGGACACTTCCACCATGGAAATTGGCAAAGAATGTTCCTCTTTAGGCAAAACCACCATGCAAATTCTGCTCTAACCCATTCTTGCAGCTTCTGGCTTTTAGCTAACCTGGCACAACCAGCCCTGGTGGAATGAGGGATAGAGTCCCAGAGAGAGGGGCAATCTGGGACGAAGCTGCACTGCTGCTACCAGGCCTGACTCCACAAGCAGCTTCACTTTGGCTACGTGTAAGAGATAACCTCACCCCTCCCTCTCTGTTCCAGACCAGGCCTTGGAACAACCTGGAAGCACAACAGTGGAAGGTGCTCCTGCCACTGCAACAAAATCGTCTGTAAGGTCCCTTCCAACCACACCATTCCATGGCCCGTGACCTCTCTGGGGTTATTTCCTGGATCACACCAGGACACATTTCTCTATCACCCTTCAAGGACAGCTTCCCCTCACCCCTCACTGCTCCAAACCTGCCTGGGACACCCCAGACGGGACTGAAAACCTGGGATGCAGTAATGCTGTCACCTCCTCCAGTGACAAGCTCTCCTCAAGCTGCTCCCTGGAGCACACCGAGGATCAGCCCACCTGCAGCTCCTGCACTTTCCCCCGGACTCTGCGGCTGCTGCCACACACAACTCCAGGGCACAAACGGAACTTTCGCAACGCTTAAATCCACAGTCAAAAATTAACAAGGCACAGAATTCCATGGGCTCCAAATCTGGCAGGCTCTGTTTACACTGACAGTCACTTAAAAGCCCCTTAAGCTCCTGGGAAAGTACACTTCCAAAGGGTACTCCAGGGCATGGAGAGGAACACTCACTCCAAGCCTGGAAACAAAACCTCAACACTGATAACACAAATAATTCCATCAATTTAACACCAAACGCTCCCAACACAGCCTGGGTTTGAGGGATTGCCCCATTGCTGGATTGTATTTCCCTCTCATGGAACCACCTGAGCATCTCCCACCTGCAGCAACACGACAGTGATGGGCTCTGCACAGCGGGGGCTGAGCCCCAGCCTGGGCATCGGCACCCTTTGGGAAAGCTCCATCCGCCCCAAGGAACTCCACGGAGCAGCAGAACTCCTGAAATCAGCAGTTTTAAACAAGCAATCCCACTCCTAACTGCTTGGATGTGCCCAAGTGTCTCAGGCTCTAGGTCTCTGGAAAACTCAAGGTCACTGGAAAAAAGCAGCACTCTGCACACCACGAGCCTCTGGATACACGGCTCATCCCAAGGGAGGGCTCCTTCAACCCTTCCTTCAGCACCTAGAAATTATTTCACCCATCCAAACACCACCCAGAACCCACCCTGAGAGGCTTCTTTATCCTCACAACTTGTTTCCCTGCCTTCTTTACCGTGACTTTCCAAGAGGTCACAGATCAAATTAAAATACAGAAGTGTAGATAGAAATATTTTTTTTTTTTTTAGGAAACCTGAAAAACCAAGAGGGAATGCCCTGGTTAGCAGCAAACACCTTGTTTAAAGAAGGTTTCTCTCTAGCTGAAGGAGCAGCAGTGGCTCCCCAGGGCAGATGGCTGGAGCAGGGAGCCAGGAGAAGAGGGGAGATGGGAGCCCTGACAGAGCCAGCGCAAGGCACTGTCAGGGAAACTCTGACACACCCGGGCCACACGGTGCTCGCAGCTCAGCCCTCCCACTGCAACCCTGCCCCTCCCCTGATCCCCAGCTGGCACATCCACGGGAAAAAGGGAAGAGGCCAGGCAACCCCTCAGCCCCAAGTCGCACAGCAGCTCCAGGAAGAGTTTAACTGGCAGAGGAGGAGAGGGGCTGCAGGACACCCACCGGGCAGGGAACGTTCCTGTGAAGGCTTTAGCCAGGGGACAGCGGGCACAGGAGGGAGCAGGGCAGGGCCACAGCCAGCAAAGGGGACAGGAACGCGAGGACAGGGCAGTGCCAGGGCTGGGAGGGGGCAAGGCAGCCGGAAAGCAGGAGCTGCACCAGCAGAGGATGCCGGGCTGGGGGGAAGAGGGCCTGGGGAAAATGGGGGTGAGGGGATGGGGTGGGAGCAGGGATAAGGCAGAGATCCTTAAAGCAGTCAGACTGCTGGTAAAGAGAAGGGGGTGACACCTCGGGGGGATGAGAGGACACCTGGCAGAGCCTGGGGTGGGGGAAGCTGATGGGAAAGGCAGTGGTGGGGGAAATGTCAGGAAAGGGAGGTGAGGGGGGCAGCTGAGAGAGAAGTGGTACGCGGGGATGGGTTTGGGGCCGACAGGGCTGGCAGCTGGCAGGGAAGAGGGGACAGGGGCACAGCTGACAGCGAAGAAGCCCGGCTGACAGGGAAGGGGGACGAGGTGTGCCTGACCGGGGAGGGACCGGGGGCATGCAGCTGCCAGGGAAGGGGGCACCGGGGGAAGAGCTGCCGGGGAACGGGGCACCGGGGCCGGGGAACAGGGCACCGGGGAACGGGGCACCGGGGCCGGCTGATGCAGCTGCGAGCGAGGCGGGCACAGGGTGCACTGCCAGGGAAGAGGGCACCGCGGGGCGCGGGCAGGGAAGGGGTCGGGGGGCGGCGGGGGTCTGTCAGGGCGGCAGGGCCCGTTACCTGTCAGGCCTCCCGGGCGCGAGCGCAGCGGGCACTGGAGGTGGCGAGGCCCCATCCATGCGGGGCAGAACGGGACGCAGCGCAGGGGCCGCGGCGGGGCCCCGGCCGTGCCCCCGGCCCCGGTACCCCCGGTACCCCCGCCAGCTGTCCGGGGCTGCGCTGCGCCCCCCGCCGCCGCGCGCTGCGCATGCGCCACGCCAACTGCGCAACCGCCCCCCCGCGCGCCGCCGCGCCCCGCCCCGCGCAAAAGGCGTAAATCCCGTTCGTGAATTCCGCCCCTTCCTGCCCGCCACCGCGCCGGAACTGACAGCTCACGGAGCCAATGGGAAGAGAGGATGCAGATCATGGGCGATCCGCCAATCGGCGTTGGGGGGGCGGGAGTGTAGCAAAGGGGCTGCTGGGAGATGTAGTCAAAGGGGGAGTGATGGCCGCCGGCTCCCCTTCCCCAAACCTGGGCGTTAAAGCCCCCTGAGCTCGGACCGCTCCACAGCGCCGAGGATGGTGAAGGGCCTGGGGGGAAGCCAGGAAGGCATAGGCTGAGGTCACTCAGTTTGTGCAGCCTGGAGAAGAGGGGGCTGAGGGTCCTGTCCCTGTAAGGGCCCCATCCCACCCCTCCCACTGCCTCAGGTGCCCCCAGCCCCAGTGTCCAGCCTGGCCTTGGGCACTGCCAGGTGTCCAGGGGCACCCAGAGCTGCTCTGGGCACCTGTGCCAGGGCCTGCCCACCCTCCCAGGGAGGAATTCCTTCCCAGAATCCAATCTAAACTTACACTCCACCAGCTTAAGGCTGTTCCTCCTTGCCCCGTCACTCCAGACCCTTTGAACCAACCCCGCTCCCTCTTCCTCGCTGGCTCCTCCAGGCGCTGCCCGGCTGGCAGCAGCAGCGAGCCCGGCTCGCTCGGGGATCGAGCTGGCACCCAGAGCCGAGAGCCAGGCGGTGGCAGTGTCTGCACGGCGCTTCCCTTCGCCGGGGCACCGGCCGGGGCCCCGCCAGGCCCGGGGGCAGCTCCAGGCCCGGCCGCTATGAGGATGCACATGAGGGGATTGATGGCTTTCTCCCACGCACGGCTCCTTTCCGCGAGGGTTCTGCCAAAAACGCCACCGTGAAAAGTTTAATAGCAATAAAATGGCTATAAAAATAGAGCCATAACAATTTGGGCAGAGTTAGGGCAATAAAAAACTAAAGAAACACACTCTGGGTGCCTCCCTAGGGCAATTAAGCCCCGAAAACACACGCCACGCATACTAACAAAGGATTAACCCTCAAAAGCAGCAGCCTGGTGCATATCCATATATCTCATACATGAATATATCATATTGAGGTGATATTATATGAATGGCTCTTTGCAAAGGAATACTCGATGTGCTATGTTGTATTAATTAGATATAGTTTTAGGTTATAACATAATGTTATAATAGAAACTATGCAATGTAAGATATTTTTTTAACTAGCTCAAGAAAGGGATGAGATAATCAAGAAATCCTTCGCACAGAGATAACAGCAGCAAGACACCTAAATCCCCAAGAAAAGAGTTACTCCCTCTTTATGGGAAAAGACAAACATTCTTCCACCTCCTCTCCATCTTTGATTAAGGGGAAGTTGACAATAACCAGAGAACACCCTTTGTTTGAAAAGAATCTATGCATCATGTATGAGATATATGAATATGCAACAGGCTGCTGCTTTTAAGGGTTAATCCTTTGTTAGCGTGTGTGCTGTTGGGACCCAGACTGTCTATATTTCTTTGTTTTTTATTGTCCTTATTGTCCTAATTGTGGTTGTCCAAATACTTATTACTCTATTTTTATAATCATTTTATTACTGTCAAACTTTTAAAATTTTAAAACAAATGATTGGCGTTTTTCACAGAACCCTCCCAAAAAGGGGAGGTGTGCAAAAGAAAGCAAAACTTACCAATTCACTTCCCTATAATTTACTTCTAAAATTAAACATTCCTGAGGTCTGCTAATAAAGCGTAATGAATAGTTTAAATTTTCATTTGGAACTTAATTCCCTGGCTCCCAGATAATCCCAGCTGCACGGCAGAAGAAAATTCCTACTTGATTATTCCAAAAGAAGGAGGAAAAGCCCCTTAAATCAGAGACATCAGGACTCTTCTTTGCACCTCCAGCCTCATAAATGACAGCTGCAATGATTTGTCTCCATCTTGCAAGTCATTAACCTATTCAGCTGTTGTCAAAGTCCTTTACAGAAGGTAATTATTAATTGTTGCTTCTGCATCAGTCCAGACTCTAATTAAACAAATAATAATCGGGATCCATCCTCACAAAAGGGTTTTATCTTCTTTTCTCAGATGCCATCTCCATGGGGACCCAAAGCTCCACGCAGAAAATCAGGCAGGCTTCAGATGTCCTTGACATGGAAGTTTTCCTCGCTGGTGGAGAGAAAATTGGGGCATGGGAGCTTGATTTTTTCTCAAGCTGGTGACAGAAATGCCAGGGCTGGAGCCAAGGAGGACTTGCTGGTTCTGACTGTCAGACCTGGAGCTTCATGATGCAGTCTTGAAAGCTGGGGAATGCAAACAAGGTGTTCTCCCAGCAGCACAGCTCCTGCAGGAGAACCACACTTTGGAGAGGATCCTCCTGGAACAGGGCTGTTCCTGTTCCAAGGAAAGGTGCAGGGAGAAAGGAATAAATCTGCCTTGGAGCTTGTCCTTTTTACAGGTGAAGGGAAAACAATTTAAGTAACACTAGATACATTTTTAATTATTATTAATTTTAAAAGGCATTTCAATAAATACCTGTCTCCTTTCCTATCCTCAACTTATACTACACAGAAAAAAAAAAAAGGAAATTCAGTGTAAAAACCCCACAACATGCACATAAAGTTCAATTTTACACCCTGTGCCATAGTTAGGATGTCCCAGGGCGCAAATGCAGTTTCACAGATGCAGATCTTACTGTGTAAGTGGTTTGTGCTGCAGACACCTGGAGCTGGAGTAGGATTTGTTTGCAGGTTAAAACGGCCAGGTGGGACCAAGATTTCCTCTTGGCCAAGAATGTGCAGCAACCAAAATCCTTTGCAGAGCTCAACAGGCTGACGGGCCCTTGTCCAACCTTGTCCAAGACAAGCGGGAGCCGCTGCCAGAGCCACGAGGCCTTCCCTGGGTGCTGCACCCCCGGCCAACGCCCTCCAGCACAGCTCCGGCAGACCCAGGCTCCAGGAGGGAGCAAACCAGTTATTTCACAGGAACACATACCTGTTCTAGCTTCTAGGAACTGCCTCTGAAAGCCAAGCGTGGTTTTGCCTCAAGGAGTCTCCCGCTGCCAGAGCACAGTCCTGCCTCAACCCAAACATCGCCAGCTGCATCGCCGGCCCAGGCTTCTCACCCAGATATGACTAAGCCCTTCGGGATGAGAAACGCTCAGGGTTTCTTGCTTAATCACTAAAACAGATTAATTTGACTACCCAGCACGCAGCCAAACGGAAAAGAGGAATTGACACACCTAGCGGGTTCCTGCTGGGGCTGATCATCTGCTTTAATTGATGGGTCACGTTTGGGGATGATTTTCCATCCTGTAGCTGCCACAGGCTCCCCTCCTGCCCTCCGACCGCTAGCGCTTTGGGAGGCTTAAATCAAGAATGTAACTGCTGCAAACCAGCAAACGTCACCTTCAAAGCTCAAGGCTCAGCTGCCACATGTCACGGAAAGGGCCCGTGCCTTCCCCACATGCAGTTCTCCCAAGAATTAGGGGCTGCATCTTTACCAAAAGGCCCCTTGGCACCTAAAGTTTAGTCAGTAAACCAGGTAAAAACTCCTTTGGCTTGCTCTGGTCACACACATGTGACAGTCAGGATGTTGGAGGAGAGCCAAGCAATCAGGGTGGCTGAGCCTGGCCGCAGTGCCAAGCAACCCCCCCCCAGCACTCCAGCGGTTTAACTGGAGCCTTATCAGATTTCCTGGTGACTCAGAGCAAGCGGTCACCCGGGAGAAGGGCACGGCCACAGCAGCAAGCAGAGATGGGGTTACAGCCCCACGGTGGTCCAGAATAGCAGCCAGTGGCCACCAGGCCCCTCTGTCCCCCCAGAGCCCCCACCCCAGAGCCCTGCTGCTCTGCTGCACACTGAGGCCAAGCAGAGCAGGCCGTGCCTCTGCAAGGAGCAAACACAGGAGGCACTGGCTGCTGAGCCATGCCCGAGAGCCCAGGGAGCTGTGCCAGTCCCCGGTGGCCTGGCTGGTCCCCACAGGGTGGCTGGGCACCCCCATGTCCCTGCTAGCTGCAGGCTGCTGGGCACAGAGCCCCGCTCTGCTCCCCTACAGCAGCAGCCCCTGCTCGCAGATCCCATCCCCATCCATCCCCATCTCCGCTCCCATCCCCATCCCCTTCCCATCCCCATCCCATCCCCATCCCCATCCATCCCCATCCCCTCCCCGTCCCCCCGCTCCCCGCCCCGCTCCCGCCTCCCGCCCCGCCCCTCCCGCCGGTCCCTCCCGCCGGTCCCTCCCGCCGGTGCCGCCCGCCGGTGCCTCCCGCCCGCCGTGTGGGCCGAGCCGGGCGCCGCGGCCGCCCAGCTGCGCTCGGGCTGTGGCGGGGCGGCTCCAGCGCCCCCCGCCCTCGGCCGCCGCCATGGGCGCCGCGGCCCTGCGCGCCCTGCCCTGGGCGCTGCTGCTGCTGGGGCCGCTGCTGCCCGGGCAGGTGCTGCAGGCCAACCCCATGCTCACCTCCGAGGGCCAGCCCGCGCCGCTGCCCGGCGCCGTGCCCGGCTTCACCCCCGCGCCGCCCGCCGCGCCCGAGGAGATCCACCCGCTCAAGGAGCAGCCGGCCAACGGCTCGGCAGAGGGGCACGCCAAGCCCCGCAAAGCCTTCCCGGTCATCGGCATCGACTACACGCACGTCCGCATCCCCTTCGAGATCTCGCTCTGGATCCTCCTGGCCTGCCTCATGAAGCTGGGTAGGTGGGCGCGTTGTGAGGGGACGGGGCCAGGCAGGGCCCCGCCGGCCTGGAGACGGAGGGAGCCCGGAGCAGCCCGGAGCGGGATGTCCCGGGCGAACGGGACTGGCACCCCGGGCAGAGCACGGAGCGGCCCTCGCTGCCACGAGGGACACCGAGCATCCCCCGGGCGAGCCAGGGCGGGACCCCCAGCTGGGCGGGACAGACTCCCCCAGTCTCCCCGGGAAGGACCCGTGGACATCCCG